GCGTCCCAAAACACAAAGACATGGTAAGTGATACAACAATGGCAATGTAGAAATCCGTCAAGCCGCTGCACCCGACCTTTCTTTTTTTGACAAACTGAGGTGGATCGAATCAGCCCACCGTGTGCTAGGCAAAGCTGACAAGTCGATTGAGCCAGCACCCATAACCAGAAAAAAAAAGGTAAGGAAGGAAAAAAAAGAATAGAGAAGGAGAAGAAAAGAATAGGGAAAGAAAGAAAAAAAAAAAAAAGCCGTATGCAGCATACATCATATATCATGTGAGCAGGACCCCATTCCCAAATGAGTTGTTAGGTCAGCCTCCACCGGAAAGGAAGCCGGTACGTACTTTTGTTAAGAAATCAGATTTGACCAAGTCTCTCTTCCCCAGTAGCTGAAGGTGGGGGGAAAAAAGACTGGTATGCAGATTCACCCTCGAATCATCGTTCAGTCCCACTTTTCGAAGATTGGAGAAACAAAATTTGGTCGGAAGGTTATACTGATCTCCAGGAAATCAAGTTCTCAATTGCTTGGCTGCAAATCCTTGTTAGGTTGTGCCTGACCCAAATGGAACTGCAATTGTCTCATCTATACATACGGTTCTCTGGCTTACAGATCCGAAATACTCCTAGAAGAAGGCCTCATAGCCAATCCGAGCTAATGTGGGCCCATAAGCGAGAACACCGATTCTTCGTTAGACAAAGATCCACCGACCTTGATGATGGTACCTTGTCGACGAAGCATCAGATATCATAGTAACTAGTACTCCCGCTCTTTTAACCTTGCATGATTTTCACAATCATATTTAAGTACTCCGTACTATGCATAGCTTCTGGTGGCGGTGCGGTTCACAACTAGATCGGAACACCGACGACCCCGACGTCATCGTACAGACCGTTTCCCACTTAGCTGAAGTCTCGGTACCTTGTCCGGTTCAAGTTCAAATTGCCTCTAATGCAAGTGATGTCAGATAAAGTATCTGATCATGCTACCCCCGCTACCCTACAGAATGACCGTTGATGGACATCGAGGCTAATGGATATCGGTCTAAGTTTTGAACTAAAAATTCTGCACCTCAACTCTGATATATATTGGCACGAATGAACATTCTAAGCTTGCGGGCAAAGAAGAGAAAAACAAGTGAAAAATGGTATACCCAGAGCAGAGCGCTAAATGTGACAGTAGAGGAGGATAAATAAAATCACGTATAGTCAAGAAGTTCCCAAGAAGAAAAGAAAAAGCCCAAAGCCAACTTAATGACAGACCGACAGACGCCTGGCAGGCCATACAGTCATCAACAGTGCTAACGGGAAGGAGACGATCGCGCTCGACTCGTTACGCGTGCGTTTCGTTCTTCCTCTAAGAGCATGCAGAATCAGTATCGGTGAGGAAGCTGGAACTGCGACCGCATACCTTGGGCCTGCTTGATTTGGCGAATGGTATCATTGTGAATCTTGGTCCATTGCGCTTGGTAGTCGGCCAATGTAGGTGTAGGCGACTTGTCCATCGTGTTGCTGCCTGTTCCCGTCTTTGCTGCGGTAACGTTGCGATCCATTTTGAAGCCTTCCTTTCAATAGTATGTATGGTGAAGGAAGAAAAACAGTGTAGAAGGTGTAGAAGATATGTTTATAATAAGCTTCGAGAAAGAGAAACGGCAGTAACTTGCGCAGTCGAGGCGTCAGTTAAAGGATGCGTGGTGGTCTTTAAGAGCATGATGCCGGGTCGGTCTTGAGGATATTTATATCATTCAGCCTCTCAAGTACATTGTCCTTGCTTTGGCTTGTTTAACCATCAGTTTCACCCACATTTCGGCGGGTCAATCGACCTGGTAATTCAGACCGTGCCATGTGGCCGCCCATCGATGAGGCATCCACACTGTGGATTCGGCTTTGTTCGTTCGCTTCCCTTGCATTCGCTTCCCTGTCAGAGTGGAGGTCAGAAACAGCTCCCTGAAGGGGAGGTCTGAAGCGGACCAGTGATAGACGAGCGAGTGCAATTACTGACTCAATGACCGGTTACAACTCCTATGGGATTCTCTGCACATTGGAGTGAAGCATTTTCTTCTCACTTTTCTCTCACGCGGCTGCAGTTCCATGATCGCCGATAGGGTAGAGGGAGCAGGAAGAGGAATGTTTATCATCGAAGACTATTTCCTCTTCGCCTCCTACCCGCGGCTTCTCAGGGTCGGTCCTCGGTCGGCCCTTGCCATCTGAACCAGGCGGATCCCCGATTGGTCGGGGGAAAGCCCAGCCGCGGCCGTGGCATCGATCCCATTGATTTTATCATGGATCCGGAGTCGGGGAACCAGGTTAGGGTACATAACAGAGCGGGACGGAACACGTAGTGGTGATGGACTGTTCGCAGGTTTGTGTGACGCTCTGTCGGGATCAACGGTTATGGCCTGATTGGCTTCTTACTCTCCGATCCGCTCACGCGGATGGCGTTCCGCGCCTCGATAGTCTCCTGGATCCCGGGTGTTGGGCACCGATGGGCCGGTTTGGCTATGTGGGACACCGCGAAGTGGAAACAAGGAAGGGAGGGACTAATATGTGATAATATAAGATGATGATGAAATGGAGGGCCGCCTTTCATCCAGTGGTTGGTGGTTTATTGAAACCGTGTTAAGAGTCTGGCGGTGGTGTTTCGTTTGTGGTGGCAGAATCCCGGGCGGAAGCTTGGAAGGCGTTAAACAACAGCTGCATGGAGGGTAATTCCTTGATCGGAACATGCAACTGTCGCTGCAGCTGACTGCCTGCATCTATTCTTACGAGTCACATTTGAACCTTTTCTTTGTTTCAGAGATGATGAATCCTGGTAACTGTCGAATAACAACAAAATGGAGCAGTTGGTGTTTCCTGAGGAAATCCTCACCTCCCCAAATTAGCCCCGATTTCTGAATGGATTGGTCACATCTGCCAGGCAGCCGAAAAAAAAAAGAAGAAGAAGAAGAAGAAGAAGAAGAAGAAGAAGAAGAAGAAGAAGAAGAAGAAGAAGAAGAAGAAGAAGAAGAAGCCAAGGTCGAGTCTCAGTCACTCTGCTTCATCTCTATCGGCTGCAACCGGGAATCTCCTGCGGACAGATCAACAAAGCCAACTGTCCAGATCGGAATCCAGGTTGTAGTAATGAATCGCTCCCTACGATGGTACTGTACTTCCTCGATCGTACTATCTAAACGACGGACACGGATCTGGACCCGATCGGCTGGTCCACTGCAGTCTGACCCATCCGGGGCGAAGTGGAATGGCTTCAGGCGATCGATGATAGTCCAATCGGGGAACTCGTCCCGTCCAGTTTATTCTGCAGGGCCCTGTAGAGTTCCACCGGCAATGGAAGCCCGAAGAAGCATTCGGTTGAGTCTTCCCTATTTTCACCGCCACTTCTGATAGATCCAGTTCCAGCCTCAAGAGACGACGAGCAGACAAGTCTATCTGAATAGAGGATATTAGAGACCGCCAACTCATAACTTTTAGTTCGGGCGAGACGTCGTGAAACGAACGTGTTGTTGTCGGGTCCACACAATGCAACAAAAACAGACCGATAAAACTGCATAGCTGACAACAGGGAATGCCTTATGCTCACAGACCAGACATCTTTCATTGATGCGGCCAGAAGGCCAAATAAAATGGCGAGATACTTCCATCTATTGGTCAGCCGGGCCCGATCATGTTGGTTTGCCTAGCGACTATCCTGGTCGCACCGTTGGTCTGTGAGGCGCGAGTCTCAGACAAGTTGGCAGATATGTTATGCCGCTGCTGTGTCACAGCATCAACATACAACTACATGCCTCATTCGCAAAACTGTGCGCTGATCGTTGTCTTTTGTCGTCTGCGTCCGCTAATTATAGGCGCGGACAACGCCAACGGCCCTCCCGTCTCAGTCTTTTTCCTCCTGCTTCATATTTTTGTCCATGTCACTCCCGCCCGACCTTTTTCTTTTCTTTGTTTTCGGGACTGACCTGTACGACACCAATCCGCCCAGGCCGTATCTCGACTGGCTAGCCCCTGGTCCTTGTTGGACCTGCAGCCATCTCGAGCTGGGCCGCGCTTGAAGCCAAGTTTTCGACCGTCGGGAGAGGCCTCTTGATCAGAGACAATTTTGGACAGGCTGGGACCTCTTCGCGGTCATGCCATTCATGTCAGACAAAGTGCGAGTGTTGGGCAGCCTACATCAGAATGATGCATGCAGAGATTTCTAGATGGTGGAGAGACATGTTGAGACAAAGACCATCTCTCGATGAGACGCGCGTCGGCCATGATGAGCAGGGCCGCATGGCCGCATCCAATCCTGATCTTTTAATCAGCTTGTGGCGTCGCTATTGATTCGGTTCTGACAGCTGAAAGAAGCATGTCCTTCGGCCGGTCAGTATTGTACTGTTCTTCCTCGCGTAGAGGGAATTCTAGTCTCGTGTTGAGCTGACTAGTCTTTCCACAAGTTCGGCCTATGTCTATTCTGTCTACCTTGAAGAAAGTGGTCGTGTCAGGTGAGGGACTGAATTCTCGAAAACCACGTCATCTGGCTGCTGCCTGTTTTCCGCAAGATTGCTCACTATGCCGAGGGTATATGCTTCTTGGAAGTGGAGTCTGACATTACTATTCAATCAGGAGAAGCTAATCCATGATGCGAGTAGCCTGGCCCTAAGTCTATGTCCATCGGATCCCAGAAATAACATACAATCCGACTATAAACGCTATTGAATCCTCACACTACCTCAGTCCTACCTTCGTTCCGTTTCTGGAGCAGCATGTCAGTGTCAGATTCTCTTCCCAAGGGCCAGGATCTCGGCTCTCCAACAGAGAAAACTTCTGTGCCAACCGCGTCGTCACATAGCCTGCCTCTGTCAGTGCGTACTGCTGACCAACGCAGATGCGTGGCCCCCCGTTAAATGGAAGATATTCCCAGCCCGGACGCAGATCAGCCCACCGCTCGGGTCGAAATTCTTGCACATCCGGACCGAAGAAGTCTTTGCGCCGGTGCATTGCATAAACTGAGTATGACACAACAGACCCTTTGGGCACGAAAACGGGTGACTTGCCATCCGGACCACCGCCGACAGGAAGGATGGTGTCGGTTTGGGCAAAACGAGCGTTGGCAGGGACAACGGGATGAAGGCGGAGCGCTACTGGAGTCAGTATAGGTAGCCCTTACAGATTGAACGGCCTTTGACTCACATTCATTGAGGCAGTACTTGAGGTATGTTAGATTCCGCAGTTGCTCATATGTGGGCGTACGTCCTTCCAGTGTTGAAACTTCCTCGTGGAGTTTATTCCAGACACGAGGATGTTTTGCGAGCATGAAGAATAGATTGCTCAGCAAGGATGCGGTGGTGTCGCGACCCGCAAGAAGGATGTTCATGATTTCGTCGCGTATTCGCGTCCGGTCACCAGTCTGCTGCGCCAAGCCATCCAGGAACAAATATCGGTGCGTTTCCTGGGTTTCTTTCTCTTTGCTAAACCGCTCACGCACTCGCACCGCCTTGTCGACGAATTGCTCCACTAGGTCATGACAAATACGGTCGCATTGGTCGGCTTTTCGGTCACGATAAAAGTAGCTTAGCTTGCCCAAGCGCGCTCGTGTAGCGATAGCACCCTGGGAATAGTTGAACGCCTCCGCAAAATCCCTTTCTTCCTCTATGCTCTGAGGGTGCCTAGCCCGCCGTTTCTTCAGACTATGCACGCTGTGTCCAAAAAGAAAGTCGGTGGCCGAGTCGATTGTGAACCCGAAGAACAGATCTTGGAGATCAACGGTCGTCCCATCAGCTGGAATAAGAGCCAGCAAGTCATCCATAAGCTCCTCGAAGATGTCAAGATGTGCGACCTGCTCCCTGACAAAGTTCGGGCGGACCATAGCTCGTGACTGGACCCAATGCTCGCCGTCAGCTGTGAAGATACCATGGCCGAGGAGTGGTCCAAAGGAATGGATCCGGTCTCCCAGACCATAATCCTTGAAACGAAGAGAGAGGATCGTTTTCACGTTCTCTGGCTCCCGAGTCGCGAACATAGTTGTTGCCAGCCGACGGGCTTTGAACGTGTTGCCGTAGGCCTCAAAGCGGTCGACACTTCTCTCGAGAAAAGTGTGTTCCTTGGCTTCGACCATACGCTGGTAAACCCCATCGAGGCCGAAAAAGGGGTCTTTCTCAGGAAGATTTGGGGGTGGTTGGCATTGATTCGCTTTGGCAATGCGATGTTGCTTCCAACGCCGGTTGACATAAGTGAGGATCGACCAGAGGAGAATGGCGGCGGCAGCAAATACCGCGATGGGATGTTGCGGTGTGTAAACCCCCATGGTTTCGAGCCAGTCCGTCTCTTGTACTGGCAATGTTAACCCTGACCCAGTTGGCAAGAGGGTGGGCATGTCTACCTATAAAATGGCTTTAATTTCAGACCACGAGCGGCTTGTGCTGTGTTATCCCGCGTCTGCCCAAGCCGGGATTCGGGCGGACGTAGCGGAAAGACCGATAATGTATGCTGAGCGAATGGTGAAGCTTAACTTAGAACGGAGATGCTTGCGAGTGGAGCCTGGGCTGTAGGCAGGGCAATAATTTATCCCTTGATTTCAGTGGCCGCGGGCGCGATGTTTGAGCACAGAGAAAAGCGCTGATAGGGTAAAGCTCCATTCTGAATGAGCAGTGTCAATCCCTGGCACCAAAGAGGGGTAGAGAACTTATTACCTACGTCTTTTGATTTTTCGTTATGCATGCATATCGTGTCATCTTTGATTTTGCTTCTGAAAGAAATCCTTAGTGTTCTGATGAGGTCATGGTAAGTAATGAGACGGAAGGAAAAACGAGCTCTTGGAAGTTGGAACTCTGTTAATCAGCTCCTTCTAACGGTCTAGCTCGATTTCCCCGCAAATTCAGTCCACTGGATGAAATCATGCAACATAGGATATGAGTTGATGCGCATTGACCGAGATAGACACGGCCTCGGCCCATTTTCGTGTCTGCTTTACACAGTGATACTTTCACCAGAGAAAGCCAACCCACGAGCGTATTTCTCTGTTGCGTATAACACAACCAATATCTGACGCACATGTCAATCGCAACCGATACAGTCAGGACGTACTCCGTACATACCATAATACCAACCCAGAGCTTAACTCCGCCCCGCGACCGATCTCTCCGGCACGGCCCTCCGGCATTTGATTTCCCGAACGCCGTTACACTTTTTTCCAGACAATGAAGAACCGGAGAAGCTTTATTCACTCAGAAATAAAAATAGGCGACCGAGGCCTTTTATCTCTGGCGACCTGCGCACCGGATTCTGACATGCAAAACGGCGGACGAAGAAGGTTCAAGTAAGAACAAGCCTTTGGTGCTAGGTGGGTCAGGCTACCTCTTAATTGGATCCTTCGCATCTCACTCGCAGCAAGGTAGCCAGCTTCGATCGGTAGTAGCTTCTAAAAGCATTGGATGGACCACTGGTATTAAGCTGCTTTGTATTGTGCCTGTGCAAATTGAATTGCAGTTCCACTACCTGGCCCTGATGGGGGACGTGTCTGTTGCTTCGCGCAAGCGAGTCTCGCGGGATCTGGACCGTGGGCTGCTTTGACGCAGCTGCAGCAGCCGGAAAGACAGCCCGAGCTCCCTAAGTTGTCATAGAGATGCACATTTGATCACCTGGAGTGTTGATGAGGCGCAACTCATATTCCCGACGGAAAGTAAGTGGATAGATAATTCAAAGCTTCATGAAACTACATCGGTACGAATACCACGAGCCTCACGCACTTGCCCCGCAAAAACAAGAACCAAGCCCAAAGCATAGCGGCCACCTGCTAAAACCGGGAAGAAGAGATGGCTTCCGGATAAACACCACAACACGTTACTGCAACAGCAAAAGACCAAGCCCACCCAAATCATCGTTCTAATGGCTTTCTCCTCGGTGCTGAGTTGAGACAATCTTCGGTCGAGTTGTTGACCTACTTCTTCTCGCTAGCAGGGGTGTAAACCGAGTCACCTTTGCCGTTGTTGTAGTAGGTGCTTCCGTCCGAGTTAGAGTAGTAGTAAGAGCCATCCCTGTACTCGACTGTTAGTCTTTCCTCCCTTTGTATGATGGCTAGTTACTTCATCGCTGGTTCTTACCGATTGCTGTAGTGGTAGGCATCTCCTTGGCCGTAGCCGTTGGAGTGGGAGCCAGTTCCGTAGTCACGGGAGCACCAGTGGTTGCCCTGAAAGCTGTTATTCCAATGCATTCCAACAAATGCTGGTGGGCGGTTTCCTGCAATTCATGGTGACAAGAAAGTCGGATGGCTTACCTGGCTGTTTGTGCCAGAACCACTGTAGGTAAAATCTTTCCCAGATGACCCGGGGCTGGACATGGGGGATGTTTTCGAAGTGTTTTATGTTGACTATGGCTAGCTAGTGAAACTCAAGAGGGTCCCAGATTCTTCGGGTGGCTCTGCCGACTGTGACCACACAAAAGAAGGAGTTGGGGGATGAAGGAGATTCAGAAAGGAAGATAAAGCGCTGTAGCGTCGGGGACCCATTATAATAGAGAAAGGCGGCAGTAGGCCAACATTAGGTAACTACTAGTCCACTTTCAAGAAGGCCCACCCAGAAATAAGAAGGTGAATTGATTTACTAGGTATCCCGCATGATTCTTGGTTGACGACCGCAGACTGGCTTAGGATCTAGCTTGATGCCCTCCTAAAATGAGTCGATAGATCACATTTCGGTAGCGCCAATTTAGATTCTTTCCGGCCCTATCATTCTCGCTTTTACCCCTCATAGTGGCTGCTGTCGGAACTCTAACCATAATTCCCGGCAACAACTTAAGTATGATGGCGCTGCTCGGATGGACTGATCGAAGGTCAACCGCGGCTACCTAAGTGTGCTTATTGCTACCCGCTTCGCAATGAAAAGCTGTCAGTGGCCATGGCACGTGCATATTTATTCAAGCAATAGCAAACATGTAGATACAAACATAATATCAGAGAACATCAACAACAAAACAACAGCAGACTATCTGGATAGCTTTCACCCCGCTGCCTCTTTCCATCTCCTTCTTTTGGGACCGGCCAAGTATGCAACTGGTTCGGGCGCACCCTCTAGACGTAGGTGACCTGGATGGTAGATCCAGAGACGCTGACAGAGGTCAAAACCTCGCCATTCTGCTCAATGTCCATGATGGTAGCACCAGAAGGAGTGACAGTCCGGCCATTGCTGATGGCCTCGGCTCCAGTGAAGGTGACAGTGCCGAAATCAGCAAAATTAACCAGAGATTCACCAGATTCGAAGTCCTCGACGATCCATTCGGCGTTGGTTCTGATGTCTGGTCAGCTGCTTGTCATTTACAATGTCAGGGATGGGCATGACTTACTCGCAGAGGCTGCCCTCGACGTTACCGCTGAAGCTGTGGGTGACGGATTGGCCGGTGGAGACATTCTCGACGGTGGCCGTGCCGCTGGACTCACTGGAGGCCTTGACAGTGATTCTGATCGTGTCCCCCTCGGAGATCTCGATGTTGTTGAAGTTATAGGCGTAGTCAGGGTACCATTCGTACCAGGCATCGTAGGAGGTCTCGCCGTTTTCGTAGCAGAAGTCGATACCGGTCTGGAGGATGGCAGTCTCGCACGTGTCACCGTCAATGCCAACCCAGGCGGAGGCGCAGTACTGGCCGCCGCCAAAGCCAGAGCTACCACCGGGAGAAGAGACCGCGGGCACGACAAATTCACCAGTGACTTCGGTGTAGCCGGAGCCGATCAGGACAGCACCAGCCCAGTTGGAGCTGTACTCCGCTTCGGAGATGTTGGCGTGCTGGAGAGGGCTGTTGGTAGAGGGACTCAATGGCGGGTTGCTCTTTCTCTTCAAGCCGGTCGCACGGCGAGCTTCGGCGCGAGCACGACGCTTCTCGGTGAGAGGAGCGGCCAGAGCTGCGGTGGCCAGGAGGGAGCCAGTGAGGATGGTAGTGAACTTCATTTTGAAGAGAAGAGTTGGTCACAGTAGGGCAGAGGCACGTAGTGAGCAGAGAAGGAAACTAAAGGCAATGCTTGAAGCTGTCGATGCTGGATGACTTCGAAGGTGACTGACGAGGACGTCTATCCCATATTTATATTTGCAGAGAAGGCTAGACGGCAGCCTGGCCACAGGCGAAGTGAAGTTGACGCTGCGCAATTAACCAAAAAGCTGTTGGTAAGCCATGCTACCCCAAGACAGTGACCTCCATGGCCCTGGTAGTCCGGCGGAGATTGCTCTCTTAGGCCGAGTACGGAGTCGACCGTTCGCCGTCGGCCTCGGTGGAGTATTACTCTATCCTTCAGCAACTATACAGTAGCTGCAGAAAATCCCCGCAGAATCCTGTATGAAGCTTAGTGGGTGGATACTGCCCGATGAAGACCTTGATGCCAATTCTTTCTCAAGGAAAGTGTGTAACTTGGGAAGGCTGTGATATTCAAGCTGGGCATTTCTCGACTCTGGTCAGCATGTGTCCATTCTCACATGCCTTCTGCCCGATGCTCGGCCGAACATCCCCTCTAGTTGACTTTTCTATACCCATTGCAGGATATTTCCAAGCACCAAGAAGTAAGAGAGACGGTTTGATCAGGGAATAGTCGTTGCCTAGAGAGATCGTGGTCGTTCACAGCGGCAGCCCGGGTAAAGGCTGTACCTCAACCGGGCGATGAACGGAGGTCCGACGGCGTGGTGCATTGGCTAGGGCTTATCGGCAGCAACAGCCGGGTACCAACCTCAAGCAAGGACACTGACGAAGAGTGCACATAGGCGAATTAGTGGTGGCGCGAGTGGAACAACAAGCTTCGGGAAACCAGAACAAGCCTTGTCTCAATGTGTTGGTTGTTTAGTTGATAAGGAGGGATAATAATATCGGGGAAATTACTGGATGGGCCAACACTCTCGGAGATATGTAAGCCTAGCCGCCTCAGGCCAATTGCGGCCCAGGGCGGTCTCCACCCCGCCGATCTTTTGCCGCTTTGAATCTGCTCAATGATCACTCATTCGCTTGACTAACTGTCGAACGAACTGTCACTCTCTGTCAACAACTACGCTTAGATTAAGTCGATGTCTCTGTGGTTTACTCAACCCCGCGCACCATGCTAGAGACATTCTAGTACTCGATCGAATGGCACGTCACTTCTAGTTTCAAAGAGACTTCCTCTTACAGAAGCTACTCCGTGAGGGGCCGATTTGTGCGTCTCCACATACCTACCCCATGGCGTCCGAGCTTGTCATCATACTGAGAAGAGCTGCTACAGAAATCGGAGGCACGATTCATCATCTGCTTACCATTGCATGGCGGCTCGGATTATTCGGATGTTGTTCCTTGTCTCAAGGGTCATCAGAGAGGGGTAAGTTCTCCTGATCGGCTAAGAGGCACCGTCTCGGAGACGCAAGGTACAGTACACCATGAGCGAACGTATCTATCAGGAACTAGACTGGGTATCTACGGTCAGCAGCGGTCGATGTCTCGGCTTGTTCCTGCACTCGCTGGAATGTATTGGCTAGATAATGCGGTTTATCTACAACTTCCCCTCACCCCATCTTCTTACCCAACATTGCAAGAAGTGGGCCGACCCGCAAACTTCTATATTAGGACGAAAGTGCTGTTCAGGAGTGCAGGGAATCTGCAGTGTGACCAAAGCGCCCAAGTGTTATGATGTATGAGGCAGGCCATCGATTTTCCCCCCGCCTGCATTGACCGAAGCACCTGGCACGATCCGTGAATGAACAAGCCGCTGAAAAGCCGTCACACTAGGAGGGTTCAGCGTCGGTCTCCGAGGAAAACCCTTGCCACTCATTCAACAGTGCTAGAGTTCTCTCGCACTTGTTTCGGATGGCTTCCACTGCGTCTGGACCCAAGGCCAGTTCACCAGGCCACTTTCGACCACTCGCACCGTTCTCGCCGTGTATGACATCCAAAGTACACATTACGGCTTTTGTCGGGTCTCCCCGTTGCTTGCCGTGGACATCACGAAATGCTGTGAAGGAAGCAGCCGTTACTTCGCGATATTCTGGGATACTGGTCTCAACAAAAGTGCTGTTCTGCGGGCTCAAAAGCTCAGTGCGGAATTGGCCAGGTTCGACTAGAAGGGCTCTGATCCCCGTATGGGCGGTCTCCTGGGCGAGCGCCTCGGTAAAATCTAAGCAGAGATGAGCCAACGATCGATCATGATCAGTCGTGGATGAAACCAGACTTACATCGTATAGCTGCCTTGGAGGCACTATATGCGCCCACGCCAGGGTATGTCTCCCATGCACAGAGGGAACCGACATTGACGATTGTTCCCGCGTTGCGCCCACGAAAATGAGGCAGCAGGGCGCGTGTGACACTCATTGGCCCGAAAACGTTCGTCTGGAATTCCCTAAGGCAACCCTCATAACTATTGACCCAGTTAACATTCATCCCTTATGCTGCCATCAATCGGACCCTTACCTTAGATCTTCTACCGCCCCGAAAAGTGTGTAGCCCGCGTTGTTTACTAGTACATCAACGCTACCGTAAATCGTCAGCGCTGCTGCTACTGTCTGGTTAAGTTCCTCCTGCGATGATATTACATCGAGTGCGAGCGTAGCTGCACCGAGTTCGCGCAGAGAAGCGAGCTTAGCAATGTCACGGGCGGTCGCGATCACCTTGTGGCCACGCTGGAGTGCCTGGCGGGCAAATTCATGACCAAGACCAGACGAGCAGCCGGTGATAAGATAGACCTGGGACATAACTGGGACGGAAGAATATGCGAAAGTTGCAGATGGTTACGATTCAAGACTAAAGAACACGCACTGGCTAATTATACTAAGGGTGGTCTTCTTTGATAGTTTTGCTGGGTCCGAAGAATTTCGGACGACGATGGCCGATCGACGTTAAGTGACAGCGGCTTCGCCATAAGTCCGAAAGATTTCGGAGATCTACAAAACACGGTTCTAGTTCAGGATCCAAGAAGCCACGCCACTGAATATGACCAATTAGATGATGCTTTTAAGGGTTCTATATTTTATTTTGTCTATCCAGGACATTTTTTCGTCTATACCAGCCTGAAATCTATACATCTATTCAGGTGACCCTTCAGCCTTTCTCTTAGAGAGGCTATAAAGCAGCAAAGCTCACGCAATCTATGTCTATCCGCTGTAGTCGATAGTCACGGCTAAACGAACCGCACCAGTTGCAAGGTTTCCTCCGATGCCACCCACGGCGCTTTCGGCAGAGGTGTAGGCGTTGTCGACGGTACCAGCACCGGTGGTGATGGAGGAGCAGGTTCCACCCAGAGCATCGCAGATCTTCATGCCTTGGACAGTCATGCTGGCATCCTGGGCCTGGATAGCGCTGACATCGAAGCCGGACCAGCCGTTGTTGGCATCGGAGCCAAAGTCAAACTCACCCCAGGTGCAAGCATAGCCACCGTTGCTATCGGTGGGGAGGCTGCTGCCCTGAGCAGCACCAAAGCCACCATTGGAGTTTTCCATAAAGGCAACATACTTGGTCTCGCCGGCGGCTAGGGTGAGGCTGAGGGCCGAGTAGCCGTACCAGCCGTCCATGGTGCCGTCAGGGCCATACTTGTTCCAGAAGACGACGGTCCAGTCTTCAGTGTTCTGCCCGGATATTTGCATCACATACTCGAAAGATGAAGCCTCATCAGCCGAGACCTCAATCATGTTGCTGCCCCAGGGGTTGCCGACATTGCCTTGGTATGTGTTACCGGAGCTGTAGGATGCGGTGCTTGCGCCAAAGCCAGAGGTGGAGTAACTTCCACTAGCCGGAGTGGAAGTCCAGCCAGAGGTGGTGGCTGAAGAGGAAGAAGAGGCGGAGGAGACGGCACCCCAGTTCCATTGACGACGCTCACTGCCCTGGGGGACAGCGAGGGTACTGGTGCCGAGGGTGGCCAGCAGGAAAAGAGAGCGGGTGATGAACTGCATCCTGAATCGATTGATTGAGAGAGTGTGTTGGTCGGCAGAGGGAAGGGCTCCTTCGCTTCAAGCGAGGACTAAGATTCGGATGGAGTAGATGGAAGGAAGGACTGCCGATACAACCAAGTACCGACGACAGTGAAGAAGGAATGTGGGTTAAGTTGGTTGTAAGGAGACAAACCGATGTTCTTTGTCTTTATTGAAAGGACAGTGACTGATGAGTGACTAGAAGGATTAGAATGAGGGGGACTGGCCCCTCTAAATAGCCTGGCCAAATTGACCTCGATGGGTTCCCGTCAACATCGCCCGGTGCAGGGCTCTGGTCTGGACCAGTGGGTTTACGACGCCGGGACAGAGAGACTTTCTCACGAAGAGTGGGACTAGGTTGAAAGAAAAATGGTAATGAAAAGGGTGACGAGCGAATGCGTCAGCTGCGTTTGACTCAGGAACCATGGAGAGAAGCAGAGGTAGTGATAAACAAAGCCAATTGGCTGTGGGTAGCGAGATTGACGAGGGAAGCATCATTGGCATTTCTGGTCAAGAAGGGAAGAAAGCATGGATTTAGGGTTGGGAAGGGTTGAGGATAGTGGGGAAAAGAGTGGGACAGTCACTGAGGTTCATTTGGAAGAAAGACCACAGAGGTATGTATTCGCTCTCTGCCTCACACTTATTTGCCGTGCCGTCAACATGACGGACAAACAACCTTACCAGGATGAGCATCATGAGACAATTCCAAGAGAATCCCTTCTGCTGATACAAAGGGCTGGACTGATTGGTTTCAAGATGCAACGCCTGCTTCTTTCTTTTCTCTGAATGAATGAAGAAACGAAGCCGAACAAGAACCAGGAGCGGGTCCGAGCAGAGATTCAACTGGCGCTAGTTAAAAGAAGATGGAGAAGTAGGGCACTAGAAGCGATGGGCATTATTCAAGAGGAATTGCAAGGTCTGTGTTCTCGGGGAATTTTGCCAGTGGATAGACAAGGTTTCCACTTTTACCCTGTCTCCTGCTATCGACCCGACAGCTCTTTGGTTCTCAGCTGGATGAGCTCTCTCGAGTCTCAATCTTTGTGAGGATACAAGCTGCTCTCCTTAGGCCTTGTCTGTCTGTTTCCTTATCCTTGCAGCCGGCAAGAAAGAGTTCTCCCATTTCATTGTTCTTACAATGAGACTCCGATCAATTCCCAAAAAAAAGCGCACGACACATCAACATCAAAGAGACCAACGAAGCGCAAGCAGAGCAATGCACCCACGGTTCTATACTCTCGGCCAGGAACCGTTGCTCCACTTCTCTCTACTGTACTAATCCCAAGAGAGTATCTCCGCTGACTCATCTAGCAGAACTTTTTCAAAGCTACCCAATTGCGATACAATCCACCGCTCAATCAGTCCTGGATCAAGGCTTCTCAATGCTCATTGGTGCGTGGATAACCACGGAATCATTCAAGGGCAAATGATTATATTACCTCTTCAGGTAAAGCACCAAGCCGCGATCCAACGGATGCAGTCCTTCTTGGAAACAAATTTCGCACACCTAAGCAATGTGGCTGTTAGGGCAATGCGACACATGGTATGGTCGGTGTGCGCGTACCTGACGATGAGCCAGAGGTTGCAGTTGGTTCCAACCATATTTTCTGTGCCGAGATTCATCCATGGGCCAACATGCATTCCCCTAATGGGTAAGAGAATGAAGGACGGTACTGGGCTGCTATTTACACAGTAGGGCAGTAGTGTGTAGGGCACTTACACTACAAACATCACACTAGGGTGACTAGATTTGTGGTGAAAAGTGGGACAGTGCAGTACATTATCCACTGTCAATGCGATCGCCTCGAATAAGACTTTGAAATTTAGTGTGTTCTAACAGGTTACCACAGTAGCTACTTGGTGCTGTATGCCCACTCCACAGTGTTCTAGACTTTGACTCGCAGGATCTGAACGAAGTTTAGCTGTCGCGGTACACTTGTGTCCAGGCTGGGATTATGCTAAGTCTTTTCTAATCAGTCCAGGCTCATTGCAGGCCGCTCGCCTAACTTGTCTTTCCGGGGCGATGAGTTTCCGGGATGGTTCTCATGGCTTTGTCGCGTCGACGGCGCGCGTTCACCTTTGGATGTTTCCGTCGCAGAAGCTTCTCCCAACCATACAAGAACAGTGACGGTAGGAGGGATTCGGACAGACGATAAACAGTATACGTAGTCGGACACTTCCAGTCTGGCCGGCACTCACATTTCGCTTTCCTTGCCACGCGACGAACACTCATTGCAGTCCAAATCCTGATAAGAGAGTTTTATAACTGTAGACAATCAAGGCTGCGGCTGATGAAGCAGGTCATATCCAGTTACTATCATTGGTTGTCAAAAGCATGAATAGGGTGGTTATGGAGGCGGAAGCGCAGGTTTTCTGTTCCGCTGCTATCCGACGGGTGCGCTTGCTAGGGACGGAATTGAGTTCATGAGGTCGCGGAAAGGTCAATTGATACTTTTTTATTCCTTGTTATTGGATATATGTAGTAGTCCTTACTCAGGGCCTTCTCTTGCAGGGAAATACAATGTAAACTGGGTTTGGACTGTTGGCGTGGAGGAAGATGAGTTGGCCCAGATTCATGAATTTGTATTGGAGATTTATACTTCCCAATTTACTGCTGCAAACACAGACAAAGGCCATTACAGCTCGACTCGAATCCTAGCCCTTGTCACCTGCCCACCGAACGTCGTGCAGCTGCAGCAGAGATCCAAAATTCTTGCCCTGTCATTTTCCACCTCCTACGTCACCCTTCGAAACCCAGATCCAGTTATTCACGGCACCCCGAACACCAGAAGAAATGCATTAAACGCGAGGAACTCAACACTTAACCACATACATTTTGAGAACATTTTCGTCCGTCTACTCCCGCTGCAACAACACCAACACGCCCATGATCCCCAACATAACCGTCTTCAACCACGGATGCTCCGACAAAAGAATGGTCACGTACCCCACAAACGGAATATACCCAAACACACTGCCCACAACATCATCCCGGTCGAGATAATCCTGCCCACGCGCGTAGAGTTCCGTATCGTCCGCAATGTTGTTGTCGCCTTTCGTAAGGAGTTTCGAATTGGACCTGTACAGCGAAGAAACACAACACGGATTAGCTAATGCTTCCTCAGTCTTTCACAGTAGATCCCCGCAGCTCGCCCCCCTCCCCCCTATGCGCCGCAGCCTACGCATAATCACCCCGACACCGATGAACCGAAACAGAATTGAACAAGCGAACAACCCACCCGTCGCCATATTGTCGCACCACCCGATGTACGATCGGAATCTCCTTATCTTTGACCTGATAGACCACAATCTCGCCGATGTTCAGCATGGGCTGGTTGTTCCGCAGGAAAAGGAGGTCGCCGCGCTGGAAGGCCGGCTCCATCGAGCCACTGAGAACGACAACGATCGGGCTGGGGGAGTTGGTGAGGACGGAGAGACCCTTCCACATCTATTCCGGGGAATATTCATGGTTAGCATATATTCACGCGCGCGAATGGAGGGGGGAGATTTCTTCTGGAGGTTGTAGATGTAGCGCGGAAGCTGGCTAGGCCAGCTAGCTGCGACCTTGCGACCTGCGGAACGTACCATGAAGGCGGTGCTGAGCACCAGACCGAAATTGAGGATTTGGGCGGCCGTTTGCCGCACATTCTGGATTCCGGAGAGCATAGTTGGCAATTTTTTAGGGAGACGTGGTGGACTATCCCCCGATATCGATGTTGATCTGGCTAACAGGTGGCCTTGTTGACAGGGCGGTGATTTGCATGTGTCAGCAGCGCGGGTTCTTGGGTACAGTCACGTGGGCGGGCTGCCAGAGATGGTTAGAACAATCTTGCTAACCGTTTTGAGATGTGCCATTGTATACTTGGTATTGAACCCTGAACATTGTTACTTCTACCTAGTACCTGGATAGATTATGGGGATCGTAGAACTTGTCAATAGACAGTAGTAGCTTTAACAGTCATATATGAGCTAGCTCTCTTGTCGAGCTTTGCATCATTTCGGGGCAGTGGCATAACGGAGAAGTTGGAACACATTGGAGCATTTCACATGCACTGCACTATCAAGTATAGACACCATTCCTCGATTAACAACTTATCGGGTGCACATGCGGATTATGTTTATTGCTTAATGTACTCAGACTATAGGGTCAAGATCATTCTATGTCCAGGAGCTCTGAAGCTCGAACCACCTCAAGCTACTCATCCCTCAACAATGGACCCCTTTTAATCGGCTCGAGATTTGTGAACTCCAACGTGGGTGGGACAGCATTCTGGTTCCAGTACACGGTGGCATACCGAAACATATGCGCATATGTCCCTGGAACAATGTCCGACCCGTCATACTTGCGCCACAGTGACCCAAGTGTCTCCTTGTATACTCTCAAGATCAATCCATGAGCGAGCTTGAACCCAAAACTCCTTGTCAAACATCCCTCGACGACCTCCCGCGCCTGTTTCTGGTCCGCAGTCTCCACCTCTCCCTCAGCGGGGAGCGAGAGCGACATCAGATCGAATGCTTTACGCCCATCCCACTGGGTAAACTCATTGATCAGCTGCGAGCCCTCCATGAAGTCGATCCCGTAGAGGTGGTCCCGGATGTACACGGGCCCATTCCAGCCATCCTCCTCGTCCACAAGCCCCATGACCATGGACACCACCTGTCCCTGGATGATATAGTCCGTCAACAGCTTGCTAGCCTCTTCCTCTTCGATGGTCTCATCTTCGTCCTCAATCTTGAACGAACCCCCCATCAACGGCACGCCTTTCAGCAACGGACTCGCATGCATTCCGACCGTACACGTCTTCCCCTCCCACAGCTTCAGCAACAGCTTATGGCACCGCAAGAAGAGCGGATTGTTCCTCCTCGCCGCGAGGAAGTAATTCATCAGACAGCGTTGGTCGGGTAAGCCCGTGAAATACGAGAGGACCTCGAACGGCGACTCGGGGTCCGCGATTGTCTCGTTCCAGAGTCGGTCCAAGTCGCCGATCTGGATCATTCCGACGTCAGCGTAGACGCCGCCGTACTTCAGGAGAAGCGGGAAGCGAACGAGGTCGGAAGTGTGCTGCGGCGCGTAGGTGCCGCTGAGGGTACCGTCGGTAAAGGCACGCGGGAAGAGCGCCGGGTCGGCAATGTCGAGATAGTTACGCACACTGTCACAGTCGAGCACGCGGATTGCCCATCCGAGTTTAGAGAGACGACGGTGCCATGCGCGCACGTTGCGCTGCGTGTAGGGATGCATGTTCTGAAAGCCGCTGGTCCAGAAGAACCAGATGTTCTTTTCATCGGTCACGGGTCTTGGGTGTAGGATATCGTAGTCGATTTGAGAGTCGTCGCGAATATCAAGAAGGTTTGGTGGAATGGCGTGCATTCCAGCCGGTATGGGATACAGTTGATCTGATTCCATAGCGAACAAATGATCGGTTTGGGTCGATGCAGCGGTATTGTCGACCAGCATTGAGTGATTTGGATTAAGAAACGAGTTATCGGGCCGGTAGTCCCTCTTGCTTTATTTGTTTTCTGGCAAGCTGCTAAAGAATTGTTGCTTAAAGGCATGATATAGTTCGAGACCCCCGTGTCTATTTATCCAGATGTTGTCTCTAAAGAATCGATGATCTTATTGGCGCGATAATAGACGATACGCACTCACTAGTAAGGCTGTAAAGTGGCTGAGACATGACTCACTCTCGCTCATTCTGGACCATAGTGATTAGGATACATCTTTTCGCCAAATGCAGTTAGCCTGACATGATTCATTAAGGCTCACTTTCGACGGATCAGATCCTGGTAAATTAATGTGTGGCGAGTGGCGACTCCCAAAAAGGGGCCGCGGCGGAAATTACGGCGGGCTGGGTGGAGGCAACTTGGATTGGAACTGATATGTTCTTAACATCTCAAGTTAGTAGCCTGTCCTGAAAGACAGCAACCGGCAGAATTATACTGCGTGCTGCAGAACGATTCCTCGCTTACAGTTGAGTCGGTCTGATGTTGAGTCCCGAGGAAGCTGTCGAGCTCAGTCCCGGCTTCACGCGGCCCCACCCCCTGCCGCCGTCTTCAGCAATCTGCCAGCAAGGTGAATCTCGGTCATCTCCTGCAATTCCATGGGTATCTCTGCCGTGAGGAGTAGCCATCCTCAATCTCGGCGTCATTGGGACTCGACAAAACTTATACACTGCCCCACCAGAGCATTTCACCAGCCAGATGTCGTCATTAATGACATCGAATGATAGAAGCGTCGCGCAGTGAGATACAACTATATAAGATGCTGGTAAACATGCTCGAGGGTGAGGGTGATCTAACAAGGCGAGGCAAACGACTAACATCACAATTAATAGCTTCCAAGACGATTTTTCGTGGCCTTTTGTGGCCAAACACCCTTTGAAGGTGATTGTCGTGGATGCAGGCATTGCGGGACTTACCGTGGCCCTGGGCCTGAAGAAGGCTGGACACGATGTCCTCATCCTGGAACGGGTCCATGAAATCGCAGAGGTTGGTGCAGGTATACAGGTTGCTCCTAATGCGGCGCGGATTCTAGGCCGACTGGCCTACTGGACAGAGTTATGAATAAGGCGAATGTGTTAGAAAAGAACTCCCTGCGCCGGTATGCGAACAACGAGGAAATAGGGACCGCCCCTCTGATGCCCCAGGTATGGATACCTCCTCAATTCAATAAGCCGTGCTCCCATTAACCCCTTGTACTAGGTCGCTCAGAAATACGATGCGCCCCTGGCAGTGATTCATCGAGGTGATCTGCAACGCATTCTTCTGGACGGCTTCCGGGAAGCGAACATAGAACTACGCATCAGCTCGCGTGCTGTCCGAGCGGTCGATAACTTCGAGGCAACTGTTCAGCTGGAGTCGGGCGAGTGGATCCCTGGAGATGTGGTGATTACCGCAGACGGTATCAAATCCGACCTCCGCCATCAGATCGCATCCCACCACGGAGTCAAGGATGTCTGCCAACCCACAGGCGACGCAGCGTATCGCATCATGACTCCCAAGGACAAAATGCAGGGCGACCAGCGCGCCCTGCATTTTGTCTCACAATGTCTGTATGCGCTGGATGGGACCTGGAGGACACATCATGGCATACCCGATCAAGAACAACACCGTTTATAATATGGTGCTACTAAATCCACAGAAGCCGGGCGCTTCGAATGAGGAGAGCTGGACTAGCAAGGGAGACAAGCAGGAAATGGTCTCCTTTTACAGCAAGTGGAACGACTTGGTAAGGAGTCTTCTGAGTTATGTTCCGGACGGTGAGGTTATGGAGTGGACTTTAAACTCTCACTTTCCTCTCCCTTCGTGGAATGAAAAAATGCGTGCTGATGGGAGACGCTTGTCACCCGATGCTGCCATATGTAGCCCAGGGGGCTGCACAGGCTATTGAAGATGCCGGTGTACTTACGCGTGCTCTGTCGATGACAGATTCGGTTCCTTCGGCATTGGCTGTTTACGAGTTAGTACGAAAGGAACGTGCGGAGCGTATTCAGAAAAGTGCCGCGGTGACGAGGAAGGCGCTGCATCTACCTGACGGAGAGCAACAGATCAAGCGGGATGGGGCCATCCGAGGGTTCGGCAAGAACCCTGATCTCTGGGCTGATCCCAGCTGGCAGGATTTTATGTGGGGTATGTACTAAGTCCCCATCAAGCTGGAGCCCACGTTGACTGACAATTGCAGGGACGGATGTCATGAAAGACACAATCGGCAATTGGGAGGACCTTGTGGCGAAGAGCCACGAATATCATCCCCATGCGGTGCAGGGTCTGGGCTACTATGCAGGCCTCACTAGCGGGTGGCTCTCCTGTCTATAGTTAGGACTCGTGGTTGATTTGTATGAGCTTTCCATGAGAGAACGCTGGCTCCGGAACCTATGGTCTAGCCAGATAATTAACGGGAATTGACTTCGATGTTACATACTAGTGCTTATTGCCTCGTATTTGTGCTTGTATATGTGAGACATAACTTAGCTAGTCTTGCGAAAACTAGAGGCCATTCCCTTGTGTCCTTGAGCGTCTAGGGTGAATCAAGACAGGGTATGCCATACCGTGATAAGATTGGCCATTATCTCCTGATGAGCTCCAAGTTGTTCTCCAGATTGGCGGCTTGGGCGTGAGATTTACCTGCAGATTGCCATGACATTACATTGAAGTGGCTATACGAGCATCGGAGGACCATGCTGTTACTCGATATATATATATGCGCACGGCTAGTTTCAAACCGCACGGTGAGAAAATCCCAAACAGACCGAGACAGCTCATAACACCATCAGATCCCACCGGCCTTAGGGAGTAGGCCACCGCATCTTAACAAAGCAGACTCAATCGAATATGAAGGTATAAAGTGCCTACGATTCTACGACAGCCAACACGCTACACATGACCAGGATTTACTTAGTACCAAGCGCACCGCTAGACCCAGATAGCTTTAGTGTACGCTCTTAGCGGCATAACTTTGAGGCCGATCACCCAAGGAAGCCGGGCTAGCTCAATCGGCAGAGCGTGAGACTCTTAATCTCAAGGTTGCGGGTTCAACCCCCGCGTTCGGCT